CATCTTCCATGAACTTTGCATTATTAGTTGTGCACATTTCACATTTCATGACTGCGAGGTATATTTTTATGACGACCAGATTCTATTAATAGGTTGAAGTTGTCGCACCGGAATTTAGCTATATACTTGATAAGATAAGGTTGGATATCACACGTAAGGCACTTTTCAACATCGAGGAGGGATTTAAAAAGCTTGTAGATGCAACAGTTTGAGTTATCATGTAGGGATGAATGCCAGACCTGAGTTAGATTATCTTTCAGTCGTTGCTTAAATTCCAGTATGAACAGATCAAAGTTTCCCATGTCTTATTGTATCCACACTTGTCCAAATCCCAGTTTAAAGAGTATATTACTAATCTCAGAAGCCCAAGTATAACGACCTGTATCAGAGATGGATTTAATCATGTAGTAGGCTTGGTAGGGGAGTCTTGAAGGTTTGAGATGGATAAGTCTCCAAGAGCCATATTGTTCGGTGTAGCTTGGCTCCGTCCAAGAAATACTTTTCTTTCTTAATTTTCTCGAGATCCGAGTCCCACCGTGGTTGCTGAGTCGATATACCAATGCTCCACTTTTCCTCGTAACACACACTTTGTGACAATCCGCAGCTGAATGGTATAGATTCACAAATAGTTCAAAGGAATATTGTATATCATGTGAAGATGCTTTGATGATTTCTCCGTAATTATTCAAAAGCACTTCTTGAAAACGAATCAGAAACTGTGTTAATTTGGAATCATCCCGTAAGTACTTGGTATATTTTGCTTCAAGCAGTGACTGCTCCTCAGTGTGGGGCGTGTCATCACCGACCTGTATATCAACACTACAGTACAAGGGGAAGTGAACCGACTCGTCTTTGTGATGGCTTATCTCCCATTTGACAGACACCCATTTGACAGACACCCAATTGGCAGACACTGAACTAGGAGGTTAATTAGGGTAACACCTACGGGTATAATGGAACAGTCCACTGTCCAGTGAGTAGAGCAGGGTGAGCCTGAAGCAGGCTTGTTACTGAGAAGTTTGATTGTGGGTAAATAGAACTTTGTTGTGATTAAATGTGAATTATATCTCTTCTCAAAATTGATTTTACTTTCAATTACTATCGAATATAAAAACAGGTTTGTCACTTAGAGGTTTGATTGCGTTTATTGATAGAAAAGCCCCCCTCCCAATAATAGCATATATACAACAGAAGTTAATTGAGAAAACGTTTTGTTGGAGAGAATAGATATGTACATATTTGAAAACATTCTGATTTGCAGTAAATGAGACACCTGCATTGCCATGTAAGATACGATTAATACCAATCAGTGTTCTAATTTTAACAATACTTTCTAAAGATTGTAACAGTTTATGTCTTTGAGTAGTATACAATGGACATTCAAGGAAGTAATGAAAAACGTTCTCACATCCATGGCCACATTGACATGATGCGTCATATTTTTAAATATGTATTCTAAATAAATCGTAATTAAGTGCACTCGTCATATATCTTAATATTGTGTGCAAAACATATAACTTCTTTATTCCATTTGAATAATATTTAGGTTCACATTTGTCTTTATTTGATTTCTACAACTTCTAATAGATAAGCTAATGTTTTCAATATGATGATGCCAACTCCCGTTAGACTAGAAATGTTTATGTCTTTTCATCCATCTTTCAAATAAATAATATAGCTTCAGTTTGTTCCTGTGTTTTATTTGGACTATTCCATTATAATGTGTAGGTAACCGGTAGTAGATAATCTGTTCACTGAACCGTAAATGCTGTTGTTTTAAGGTGTCTGCGAACTGGCTGTCTGCGTAATGGGAGGACACCTTGTGATGTATTCCAAAATCACAAAAAGCTCACTACTAGGGGAAAGCTCACTACTAGCAATCATATAATCAACGACGCTAGCCCCATTGTGTGACACATGTAAAATTTCCCTTGCTGTCATTAAACAGTCTACCGTTCAATGCATGAATACCATAAATACAACAAATATCTGAAAGCTTCTTTACGTAATTGTTATAAAATTCTGAATCCATCGTGGACCGTGGCATATCAAAATAGTCAGACTGATGCCCTTCCGACTCAGGCATAATGTATTCAAGTGAATCTTCTGGAATATAATCGAGAAATCCTTTCATTCTCGCATTGAAGTCCCCAGCAGCCAAAAAAATAGTATCAGGGAAATTAAGCATAATTGGTTCAAGTTGCGTTTCAAACAATGACATGCTATCCGTATTGGTTGAATTGTATACAGGAGATTGTTCTGGTGAAAGATAAACAAACATAATTATGACATCTTTGGGTAAACCAAGCTTAGTTGTTTTGAAGTATAGTACTACACAATCCGAGAAATGATAATACATACATCAAACATACGTGCGCGCATGCGTGCATACAGACAGAGAGACAGACATCATATTCCAAGTCGAATTCTAACACAACTCATGACGTTGCTAGTGTTGCACGAACGCGCGCGCGCACACACACACACACATACAGAATCCGCCAGTTACAAGACAGGAGCCGGCACAAGCCCTCGTCGAAGAATGGAAGCGTATCCCTGCTGACGTCATCAGATGCTTCACGACTTCAGTCAGAAGGCGTGATAATTCATACATCCAGGCCAGGGGTAGAGATGCTCGCTTTTAGACTTCAATTTTCACATTATTTCTGTTGCTTGTGTTGTTATCGTTAGGCAAATCTCTTATTCATGTGTTACGGCTGAATTTAGTATGACCATAAATTATTGAGAATTTTAGGGAATATGTTTAATTGGATTTCTAGTATAAACAACCTTGACCAGCTATCAAGTGCTTGGTTTCATTCAAGAGAGACAACTCCGTTAATCCTTTTTCATTAGTTTGTGAAGATTATCCCCCTTCGTTTACTTGCTAGCCGATTACATTTTCAGTGATCCTCAGTATGGATGATTTAGAGAAGGAAGTTGATTTTAGAGTATTATAACAAGGACATCAGATCAGCTAAAGTCATTTCAAGTAGAACAGGCATCCATTTGTCCACTGTTTATCGTGTTTTGAAAAATATTGCAAATGGATATGGCATTGAGCAGCAGGGAGGCGCAAGTAGGCCCAGAAAATTGACTGTCGGTGACAGGAGGCGGCTTCGTATTCTTGTTTCTGAAAACAAACGAAGGATATGATTGATAGAGGAACTGTGGCTGTCTGTAAGGAGACAATAAGAACTGAGCTGTATGCAAAGTGTTGGCAGAAAGGTCGAGGAATTCCATCATCGATCATGAAACCTGAAGAAAAGGAGCGACTGTTGAACTGGTGCTTACAGCATAGAAATTTTAACTGGGACAATGTGATTTTCTCAAATGAAAGTTCTGTGAGGCTGTTTCCTAATATACTGAAATTCTGGACCAAACAAACTGAAAAACCTTTGTATCAGCGCCAAAAGTACAGTCTGAAATTTAACGTGTGGGGTGGCATATCTGTGTTAGGGGCAACGCCCCTCTGTGTATTTGAAGGGAATATGAACAGTGAGCTGTACACAGATATTCTCCAGGGACACATCTACTCACGTGTTCTATGGAAATGTTTGGATTTTCCAGCAGGACAATGACCCAAAACATCGTTCAAGCATTCACAGGCCTGGTTTCGGACCCAAACTATGACATTATTAGATTGGCCAAGCTATAGCCCTGACCTAAACCAATAGAAAATGTTTGGGGACTTATGAAGCAAAGTGTCAATAAGAAAAAATCTGACAAATATTGCTGAAATGAAGAAGAGGTGGTCTGATATTCGAACAGCATGGACCACGACTTTCTAACTTCTTTGATCAGTAGTATGCCCGGCCGCGTTGAAGCCTGCATTGCTGCACATGGTGACTTGACAAAATACTAACTGTTCACCTGTCTTTGAATCTGTGAGTAATGATCTGCTAATATTCACATTTAATACGTGAGTAATGAGTGAAAAAAATAAAAAAGATTTACAATCTTTAAATTCTTAATAATTTCTGGTTGCACTGTATATTGTTTTGAGTTCGAAATTTTGTGTTTAACACGTGTGTAAACGATTTGTTGAAAGAGTAAACTGTTTACTTTTTACTTAATTGTTGTTGCTTTTGTATATTATATTCAATTTCATCTACACGTCAGTGTATCTCAACATTATGAAAATGAAACCGTAGATGAAGATTCGCCCTCCCTCTCCACTAATTCTGCCCATTTCCTTCAATGTAAAATGTATGAGACGATATCATTTTGTATACATACGCAAGTAATTTGTCACATATATAATTTATTACACACGTCATTGGTCACACATATAAAACATTACGTTTCAAACCATGTTGAGTCCTTGGAAATAGACTCAGTACTGTAGTCTCTCAAAAATGAAGAAAGGTAAAAGGACATTTGACTGTAATGGAAACCATTGACAAGCATAGTCGCCTTTTATAGCAAGCATGGTTTGCTGGATTTGAGCCCGGGTCCAAAATGAAGAAAGGTAAAAGGACATTTGAGCCCGTGCTGACCAAGGTATAATCGTAATTAACCATTAACCACAGTCAGGTCACTCTGACTTATGGTTTATTTTGGTTGAACTAAGTTCTATATACTGACTGTCTCCCTGGTGTTACATATTTTCATGATGAATATTATTATCCTTAACTTGGTGTGGATAGTATATTTTTGCTTTGACAAGTGCAAGGAAAAGTTAACCTTTGATTGTTTAAATACTTAAGAATAAATAATGCAACCGTGGTAGTGATTATGCATCTCGTTAGATGTTGATTCATACTATATACGCAATGGATATCGTAGTGTTTGGTAGAAGGCACGGGTTCAGTTCCCCGCATGGATACGATTTGACAGGCATACTTGTGGTGTCACAGACAACACCATCTACTCTTCTCTGGTCGTTCAAGGATTGTACAGACTGTGTAAATACACCAAATTTACCTTAAATCCAAACTTATCTAAACCAGTGCTGCTTCAAAAACTCTAATGTATTCTTCTTTATAAATACCTCTCTTTTACTTGATGTACATTTTCTGCCTGTCCGTGTTGTTGTACTCTCCTGTGGAGAAATAAAGAATATTATTTAAGCAAGACAGCCTTTTTGTGTCAGTTGATGAAATCTGTAGCGTTAACTCTGACTCCACGGATGAAACTAACATGTCGCCCCGAGTTGGTATTCGAGAAACTATCATCCCCCGATAACTTGGAATGAAAGACGTGAGGACGAAGCTGTTGTTCCTAATTCCGATGACATATCTACGTTCGTTTAAAGAGATGTAAGGTGCGGTGAGGGTCATGTTGACCAACCATTCGGGTTCCTTCAAGTCTGCCAGAGACATCGGCCTATACATGTAGCCGTCAGCGCAGGACGTACGTGGTGTTGTTCCTGAGGGGCAAATCAAACCCCTCTAAGTCTCCTAGGTCGTTAAGCGTGACGTTGGGGCGATGCCACCAGGACATTGCTATAATATATTACGAGATAGTTTCCAATTGTTTTTCTGATAATTTCTCAGGGGTGCACTTCACTCCCATGAAGTGTATGTTGTCGGGTAGGAAGTTGGGTGTCAATGTAGGCATCCACGTACCACCTCCCACGGGTGAAACGGGCATAGTCGTACCACCCCCGGAGCCCAGGGTTCAACCAACACCCCCACAACCCCAACAGCAGGCGTCCAATCAGCAGCACATCGACCGTAAAACAGCGCTGGTGGTTGGCGTGGTCGCGGTCGGGTTGGGGCTTATTTGGTTAAAAATTCCTTAGCCGCTACGTACACCAGCCCTACCACAGCGACGATGGATGCCCACAGGTTTTGACCGAGCCACGTGACAGTTTTAGCCAGCTTGCTAAGTAACCACGAGACGATGCTACCCAGGATGCCAGGCAGGGCTTCAGCTGCCTTACCAGCGAGTTTAGCCAGGGCCTCCCCGAGGGATTTCAGGTGTTTTCTTATCCACTCTCTGTCGCCACCAGCGGGTGTACCACCTGGTGTGGTGGTACCCCCACTCAGCGTCACGACCAGGGTTGATTTGATGAAGCCCAATGCAGTCAGAATGCTGGCGATAGTAATCCCTTGCTCTCGGAAGAGGATTCGGATCCTGTTGGCCAACGTGGTGTCTTCATTAAGGACTCGATGGTTTCCTGCACGCGGCTGATCTGGGATCGAAGCTGTTCCCGGTTCGAGGAAGAGGATTCCAACCGAGTCTGTCTATCATCTGGTAAGCCACGCAGCCGTTTTTCGATATGGCGCTTCATATCCTCGTCGTCCGTTTCAGTGAGTTTTACTTTCTCACGAGCGATGTGCTCATCGAGTTCGTTCAGTTTCCCCATGTTGTTCACGAGTTCTCCGCGTACACGTTTCAAGGCTTCGTCTAGGCCTCGCAGTTCTCGAACAGGAAATTCGAAACCAGACAAGGGTTTGTCAGGGTACATGGCCAATATTTTTTCTATACTATCTGATGTTTCTTTAGCACGTTGGGGTACGTCCCCGGTTTTGCTGAGTTCGGTCCTGGCTGCTTGCAGATCTTGGACGACCTTCGGGGGAAGCTTAGGTCGTACGCCACCGTAATCTATGAAGCCGATTTCCTCATGGATCAGTTGACTGGTGAGTGGTGACAAAGCATACGGCCCTTTCCCGTCTTTTTTCATGATATCGACCCCCGGGTGAGCCTTCAATCGCAGCATGCCCTTCTTATCGACGGTAAACTTGGCATAGTCTTGTACCAACCGCTTGATGTTGTCTCAGCTGCGTCGTAATAATCGTCGACGGGCGGCTGTACAAGTTCAGCACTTAAGGGGTTGTTTGTGAATGTGGTGTCATCATAATCCACATCACCCATATCATCCATCGGGATGTCCTCAAGGCCGCCTTCAGCCATTATTTATATTAAAATTTTATATTTTATCTATATAACAATGTATGGCAGGAAACTAGATCCTTTCCGAAGATCAAGAGAGCCTCTAGGCGTCAGAGCCGTGCACCAGTCGGTGACCATCAGCAACAATCCCAGCAAGGTAGGCCAGAACCAAACGCTGCTGGTTAGATTCCCAAACCTGGGTGAGAATAACCTCATCGTACCAGGCACGGTTCGACTGACGTTCAACCTCACGTTGACCTCCGCCAACGACAAACGCGAGCTAGTGCGGAACGTAGGTCGAGACATCATCAAGAAAACCACCATCAAGATCAGCGGTAACGAGGTGCTGAGCATCGACGACAGCGACGTGTTTCACTGCTACGAGGATCTCTGGAAAAGCGAGGGAGAAAAAGCGTGTACCAGGGCATCAGCAAATTGACTTGGTTGCACGTGGGGTACGGCTTCACGCAAGACCAGCTAGACAAGATCTCGGACGGTGAATAGGCCATCGCCCAAGCATACGGGAACAGGTTTTGCGTGCCGCTCGACTTTGAGTTGCTCACGGGACACGCCCCGTTTTACCAGGCCGCGCTCGGTGATAGGCTTGAATACGAGCTCACGTTTAATGACTACAGCAAAGTCGTGTGTACGCCGAACGGTGAAGAAGCCAGTTACACCATCGACAACATCTCTCTGGAGTTCGACATGGTCACTAGCCCGGAGCTGGCCAGGCAGGTTCGAAACCAGTACTCGGGGAAGGTAGCCATCCTGTACAACCGCATACTGAGGCATAGATCGGTCGTGCGGTATAACAGCGACACTGTGTGGAATATCAACCTGAATTTGCCGGCGCAATCGATGAAAGGTATCCTCATCGTCCCCGTGGAGGATTACGAGCCGTTCCGAAGGGACAGCGAGAAGTTTTTCAACCCCGAGATTGAAAAGGTGGAAGTGACCATCGAGGGAGTGCCCAACCACCTGTTCAGTCATGGTATGAGGGCATACCAGCAGTGGGATGAGATAAAAAAGCTACAAAAAAAAGGCTATCAAACAACACCCACACGTCATCAAGGACCTGGACCTATCCGCCGTGCAGATCGGCGAATACTTGACCACCAAGTATGCGCTATGGTTCGACATGCAATCCACGGATGACGATAAATTGCACGGCAGCGGTCGCCGCATAGACAACGGCAGCGAGGTGATAACAATCCAGATTACCAAGAAGGCTCAACCCGGGGGCAAGTTGAAATTATATCTGTACGTGATTATGGATGCGCAACTTAATATAGACAATGGGAGATTCGTGCAAGCCATCTACAGATGGAAGTAGGCCACTGCCTGCTGGCGGCAAGCCATCTATTGATTTGCCCCGCAACCCGCACTGCGCCATAGTGTGTGGACAGACGGGCTGTTGGAAGACCGTTTTCGTGCTGGATATGTTGGAGGGGTACTACCGCGATGTGTTCGATAACATCGTTATCATGTGCCCTCCTTTGCACATGAATAGAACGTACACGGAAAAACCTTTGTTGATGACGGACCCGGAGTCGACACAAAGTCACTGTTTATCCTGGACGACTGCAGCGCTAATCGTGAGATAACAAAAAGAGAGACATGCTATCGTACCTGGCCTTCTCTGGCCGGCACGCAAAGCACAACGTCTGGGTACTAACGCAGAAGTTCAACTCGGTGTTGAAAGACCTCAGGGAGCAGACGCGATGGGTGGCCTTATTCCACTGCAAGGACAGGGATTCGTTCGAGGAGTGTTTGAGAGAGAACGATGTGATGAGCAAACTAGAACGGGAACGGGTAAAGAAACAGCTCGCTGAAACTAAACATGCTAAGCTCGTGCAAAAGACCGAACAACCCGTGGCCTATAGCGTGTTTTAGCTTAGCAAAGCTAAGTAAATGCTAAACAAAGCTAAGCAAAGCTAAGCAAAAATAAGCAAATGCTAACCAAAGCTAAGCAAATGCTTAGCAAAGCTAAGCAATGGTTTGTGAAGTGCTCATTGTGTGCAATTTAACCTTCATCTCGTTGTGTTTCGCCTGTATCGGTTATTATATCATTAGAGTTAAAAATCGCTTGATATATTATAAGATGGAGTGTGATGAACTGCTCGAACCTGTTGGAGGGCGATAAGCGGCCTGATGACGACAAGATGCATACCACGCCACTGTGGTCGCCAGTCTAGCCATAGGGTACACTCGGTTGACCAAAATGGTGCTTAAACAACCAACTATCAAGCTAGATTTTAACCTGCAGGATATGGGTATGCTCATAATGAACCTGGGTATGGCGATGGCCACCAAGGACATCCTCGTAAAACAAGGGATCCTACCGAAAAATATTTTGAAGTAAATGTAACTATATATAGGATGGCTAACATCGCCATGATGGTTGGTGGGTAGAAAAGTTAGTAAACGCCCTGGCATTTTCCACCGGCAGTAATTTCCTCTTCTCAAACCCTACGGGGTCGGACGCAGAACGTAAAATATATATTTTTCACCTGGCCGTGGAATGATTACAAGCAGCACAAGCCGAGTACGCGAAGAAACGTGTACAGAGGATCGATTACATTAACGAACAACTCAGGCGTGAGAACAATGCCATTAAAACATTCCATGATGTCGACGATGCAGAGAGAGAATACTACCTACTAACCGGTAAACAACTAGAATCATTCCATAAGCCCACACTTGCTCAGTACTACACACCATCCCCGGGGCAAAAGGACCGGGAATTGATCTTTATCGTGCTGGGTCTAGCAGTGACTGCGTTGGTTGTAAAACAATTAAACTAAGTACTCATATAAGTATACCAAAGATGAGACCTGCCCCGTACCGATGTCAGTACATACTGAGGGGGAAGACTGAGACCTGTGGTAGGAAATGTAGGATGGAAGGGTATTGCTGTTTTCATAGAAAATGTTTTGTGAACTACACGAGTTCCGTGTGCGGTATTGGAGTGAAACGTCACTACCGTTTATATAAAGCCCAAGGGGCAAACACAGTCAGGCACCAGCTTATCTACGAGAAGAAAAAAGACTACATAAACGAATGTAGACGCCTCCTCAGCATGGAGGTGTAGTGATCCAATTAGAGACTGTGTACACCTAGGTATAATGATGTTCGTGGAAGTTGAGCCTAGGGAAAGTCGTTGCCTGAGAAGCTGGCAGATGGATATAGGTAGAAGTATAGATA